CCCCCCTTCCTGTTTGCTCGCCGGCCAATTCGCTAGTTCGTGCCCCTATCTAGCTTCTCGCTAGATCAGAGTTCGCCGCCTCGATGCTGCCGAAAAACTGTGTGTGTTGTGTGTTATGTGTGGTGTGTGTGTGTGTGTGAAAGTGTGTGTGTATGTGTTACAGCGTGCCCCCTGTTGCCATTCCGCCGGAGCAGTCACCCTCTGCCCAGCCGACGCAAAAGTGTGTGTGTGTGTGTGTGTGCGTGCGTGCGTGTGTGTGTGTGTGCGTGCGTGCGTGCGTGTGTGTGTGTGTCATGTCGCCGGAGCACCCACCCCCTGCCAAGCAACCGACGCCAAAAATGTGTGTGTGTGTGTGTGTGTGTGTGTGTGTGTGTGTGTGTGTGTGTGTGTGTGCGTGCGTGTGTGTGTCATTCCGCCAGAGCAGTCACCCTCTGCCCAGCCGCCGACGCAAAGTGTGTGTGAGAGTGTGTGTGTGATGTGTGTGTGGTGTGTGTGGTGTATGTGGTGTGAGTAGTGTGAGTGTGTGTGTGTGTGGTGTGTGTGTTTGTAAGTGCCGTTCCGCCAGAGCAGTCACCCTCTGCCCAGCCGACGACGCAAAAAAATGTGTGTGTGTGTGTGGGTGTGTGGTGTGTGTAGTGTGTGTGTGTGTGGGTGTGTGGGTGTGTGGGCGTGTGTGTGTGTGTGTGTGTGTGTGCGTGTGGTGTGTAGCGTGTGTGGGTGTGTGGGTGTGTGGGTGTGTGGGTGCGTGGGTAAGTCGATGTGTGGGTGTGGGTGGGTGTGAGAGGGTGTGGGTGGGTGCGTGTGGGTGTGCGGGTGTGGGTGCGTGTGGGTGTGTGGGTGTGGGTGGGTGTGGGTATGTGGGTGTGTGTGTGTGTGGGTGTGCGTGTGTGGTGTGTGGGTGTGGGTGTGTGCGTGTGTGTGTGTGTGTGTTGTGTGCGTGTGCCTGTGCGTGTGCGTGTGCGTGTGTGTGTGTGTCCGTATGTGTGTGTGGTGTGTGTGCGTGTGCGTGTGCGTGTGCGTGTGCGTGTGCGTGTGCGTGAGCGTGAGCGTGCGCATGCGCGTGGCGTGCGCGTGCGCTGCGCGTGCGCGTGTGCGTGTGCGTGTGCGTGGTGCGTGCGCGTGCGCGTGCGCGTGCGCGTGCGCGTGCGCGTGGCGCGTGCGCGTGCGCGTGCGTGTGCGCCGGGCGCGTGCGTGTTGTGTGCGTGTGCGTGTGTGTGTGTGGGTGCGTGTGCGTGGGCGTGTGGGTGTGCGTGAGCGTGTGCGTGTGCGGGTGCGGATGCGGTTGCGTTGCGTGTGGGTGTGGGTGTGTGTGTGCGTGTGCGTGTGGGTGGCGTCCGTGTGCGTGTGCGTTTGCGTGTGTGTGTGGTTTGTGTGTGTGGGTGTGTGTGTGTGTTGTGTGTGTGTGTGTGTGTGTGTGTGTTTGTGTGTGTGTGTGTGGGGGGGGGGGGGGGGGGAGGGGGGGGCGGGGGGGTGTGCGTGCGTGCGTGCGTGCGTGAGTGTGTGTGTGTGTGTGTGTTGTGTGTGTGTGTGTGGTGCGTGCGTGTGTGCGTGCGTAGCGTGCGGGTGTGTGTGTGTGTGTGCGTTGGGTGGGGTGGGTGGGTGGGTGGGTGGGTGGGTGGGTGGGGGTGCGTGGGTTGGGGGGATCGCTTTTGGTCTAACACCCATGGAAGCGAATTGATCCCCAACCGTCTTGTGGATTTGGGTCCTTTGAAGAGACAGCGCCGCGCGTCACTCCTCCTCCTCCTCTTCCTCCTCCTCCTCCTCGCCCCTCATCCCCACCCGCTGCCCGCTCCCTCCCTCCTCATCTCATCATCAGCATCGTCGTCATATTATCATCGTCACTATCATCATCGCCATTATCATCATTAGCACCATCATCATCAGCAGCAGCATCATCATCATCCTCGTCACCATCATCATCATCATCGGCATCTTCATACTCATCCTCATCCTCATCCTCATCATCATCCTCATCCTCATCCTCATCCTCATCATCATCACCATCATCGTCAATATCATCATCATCACCATCACCATCATCATCACCATCAGCATCCGCATGATCATCATAAGAAGCATCATCATCATCACCATCATCATCATCATCATCATCATCATCATCATCATCATCATCATCATCATCATGACCACCATCGTCATCACCCCTGTTTCGGCACACCCCTTAGACGGTTCGTGGCCCCATAGGGGGCTCCACCCAGGGTCCCAGTGGCGCAGCCCACATGTGAGCGCCGGGTGGGCGCCACCCTCGTTTCGGAACACCACTCACACGCTTCATGGCCTCATAAGGAGCTCCGACTAAGGTCCCACTGGCGCAGCCCTCATGTGGGCAGCACCCCCTTGTCGGCACACCCCTCACACGGCACACCCCTCACACGTTTCGTGGCCCTATAGGGAGCTCCACCCAGGGTTCAAGTGGCGCAGCCCGCATGTGGGCACCATCCCCTTTTCGGTGCAGCCCGCAAGTAGGCGCCACCACCACCGTTTCGGCACACCCCTAAGGCCCAATGGCGCAGCCCGCATGTGGGCGACACCCCCTTGTCGGCACACCCCTCACACGTTTCGTCCCTCCACAGGGAGCTCCACCTGAGGCCCCAGTAGCGCAGCCCGCATGCAAGCGACATCGCCTTTTCGGCACACCCCTCACACGGTGCGTGGCTCCAAAGGGAGCTCCACCTAAGGTCCCAGTGCCGCAGCCTGCATGAGGGCGACACCCCCGTCTCCGCACACCCCTCACAAGTTTCGTGGCTCCACAATAAGCTCCACCTAAGGCACCAGTGGCACAGCCCGCATGCGGGCGGTGCCCCACAGGGAGTTCCACCTAAGACGGCACTCACAATTGCGATACTCACAACTGCACATGGTTGGCTTCTTCGCCGGGCTAATTTCGGCATCTGGGGCCCCGCACTCGTCTTGCCGATAGAACAACTAGAACCACGCGAGGTTCTGTCGAGTCACAGACCCAGGAATCGTTGTGAGAAGAAATTGGTGACGCGAAGCGTCGTGGGGGCGTCCTTGGACGTCTGGGGTCTCCTGGGGCCTCTTGAGGGGCCTCCTGGGGGCCTCCTGGCGGCCTCTTGGGGCGGAAGGCTCGAGCTTGCGGTTCGTGGTCCCCCTCTGGGCCCCCTCTTGGGCCCGTCTTGGGGCCCTCTTGGGCCATCTTGGGCGCCTCTTGGGCCGTCTTGGGGCCCTCTTGGGCTGTCCTGGGGCCCTCTTGGAAGCTTCTTGGGCCGTCTTGGGGCGGTCTTGGGCGCCTCTTGGGCCGTCCTGTAACGTCGGAAAGCCCAAAAGACAACTTTGTTGAAAATGTACGTTTTACGAAGGGAATGGGCCAACTTTTGCGTCTGGGGGCCCTCTTGGGACGCATGTTGGAGGCTTCTTGGGGCCTCTTGGGGGCGTCCTTGGACGTCTGGGGTCTCCTGGGGCCTCTTGAGGGGCCTCCTGGGGGCCTCCTGGCGGCCTCTTGGGGCGGAAGGCTCGAGCTTGCGGTTCGTGGTCCCCCTCTGGGCCCCCTCTTGGGCCCGTCTTGGGGCCCTCTTGGGCCATCTTGGGCGCCTCTTGGGCCGTCTTGGGGCCCTCTTGGGCTGTCCTGGGGCCCTCTTGGAAGCTTCTTGGGCCGTCTTGGGGCGGTCTTGGGCGCCTCTTGGGCCGTCCTGTAACGTCGGAAAGCCCAAAAGACAACTTTGTTGAAAATGTACGTTTTACGAAGGGAATGGGCCAATTTTTGCGTCTAGGGGCCCTCTTGGGACGCATGTTGGAGGCTTCTTGGGGCCTCTTGGGGGCGTCCTTGGACGTCTGGGGTCTCCTGGGGCCTCTTGAGGGGCCTCCTGGGGGCCTCCTGGCGGCCTCTTGGGGCGGAAGGCTCGAGCTTGCGGTTCGTGGTCCCCCTCTGGGCCCCCTCTTGGGCCCGTCTTGGGGCCCTCTTGGGCCATCTTGGGCGCCTCTTGGGCCGTCTTGGGGCCCTCTTGGGCTGTCCTGGGGCCCTCTTGGGAAGCTTCTTGGGCCGTCTTGGGGCGGTCTTGGGCGCCTCTTGGGCCGTCCTGTAACGTCGGAAAGCCCAAAAGGCGACTTTGTCAAAAATGTACGTTTTACAAAGGGAATGGGCCAATTCTTGCGTCTAGGGGCCCTCTTGGGACGCATGTTGGAGGCTTCTTGGAGCCTCTTGGGGGCGTCCTTGGACGTCTGGGGTCTCCTGGGGCCTCTTGAGGGGCCTCCTGGGGGCCTCCTGGCGGCCTCTTGGGGCGGAAGGCTCGAGCTTGCGGTTCGTGGTCCCCCTCTGGGCCCCCTCTTGGGCCCGTCTTGGGGCCCTCTTGGGCCATCTTGGGCGCCTCTTGGGCCGTCTTGGGGCCCTCTTGGGCTGTCCTGGGGCCCTCTGGGAAGCTTCTTGGGCCGTCTTGGGGCGGTCTTGGGCGCCTCTTGGGCCGTCCTGTAACGTCGGAAAGCCCAAAAGACAACTTTGTTGAAAATGTACGTTTTACGAAGGGAATGGGCCAATTTTTGCGTCTAGGGGCCCTCTTGGGACGCATGTTGGAGGCTTCTTGGGGCCTCTTGGGGGCCTCCTTGGACGTCTGGAGGCCATCTTCAGCATCTCGGAGCCCTCTTGGAGGCCTCTTGGAAGTTTCTTGGGCCGTCTTGGGCGCTTCTTGGGCCGTCTTGTCTGACTGGGGAGGCCTCCGGCAAGCCCCGACGAGCCTCCGGGCCCCCCGGGGCGCACATTTGTGGTAGAGGTCCCGGCCCCGGGCCCCCGGACCCGGTGCGCCGTTATATGTATATTACCGAGGGTGGGCCCCAGGAGGCCCTAAGTGGCCCCCACAGGGCCCCCTAGAAGCCCCTAGAAGCCCCCAGAAGGCCCCCAAGAAGTTTCACGAGGCCCGCAAGAGCTCTTCAAGAGGCCGCCGAGAGACATCCACGACCCAGGCACGGTGGCGGGGTGGACCCAAGGCCACTAGATACTGAAGGGAATCTTTAGCAACGCCCGGATCCTTCTCCAGCGCCGTGGGCTCACGGTCCTGCACCTCCTCCTGCTCCTGCGGAGCTGGCCGAGAGCAATGCAGCTTCAGTCTTGCAGTGTACTGGGGGAGAGGAGCACTAGGCAAGGACAGCGATACTGGAGCAGGAAGAGTTAAAAAACCGGAATGAGGGAGGAAGGACAGAGATGCGTATGGGGAGGGGAAGCAGGGGAGCGAGAGGGGGAGGCGGAGGCGGAGGGAAAGCCAAAGACTGGGAGAAGGGAAGGGGGGAGGGGAACAGAGCGAGAGAGGTGGGGAGAGAGGGGGGAATGCAAGAGGATCGGAGGGATGGGGAGCTGTCACCAGAAAGGGGATGAGAAAAGAGATGGTAACGGCAAGCATGTGCGCTCGCGCTATATCTGACATCCTACCCATCCCACCCATCATTTCCCATGTCGCTGTTTGTTCTCTATCCGCCGACGCGTGTCATAGCGGACCTGGAACTCCAAAGATGATCCAATCGTGCCATGCGCAATCGAAAAAAGGGAGCTGCGCGCATTAGAGGAGGCGGCGGACGAGCCGGAGGAACATGAGAAGCACGAGGACGGAGGTGGGCGACGACAAACATCAGCAGCAGCAGCAGGAGCTGGAGTGGAAGGAGCGGGAGGAGCGGGAGGAGCGGGAGGACCAGGGGAAGGCGGAGGAGGGGAAAGGAGGGGGCGCCAAATATGGAACAAAGGACTCGAATCCAGAGAAGTGGCCCGCGCGCTGGGGCGAGAGCGCCACTCCGAACGACGGGGGCGACGGGGGCAACGTGCCGCTCAGAAAAGCAGGCCCACGCTGCAGCGGGAGCACAAATCTTGAAGCACCGAAAGCAAGCGGACTGTCAACCGCCAGAAGAGAAACACACAACGTTTGACACCTGGTGTATGCTACAGAACAGGACGCAGAGAAGGTTGAACGCTCTCCTGACCGTCAGGTTTCAGAGGAGAGTAGGGTTCATCCTGCGCAGCTGGGGAGGATAGGGGGAGTGAGAAAGGGGGCAGGGTGGAGGGGAGGGGGGGAAAAAAGGAAAAAGGTAGGAAGCGGGACCAGAACGAATGACATTCGGAAGTGAGAAGCCAGATCAGGGTTAAGGGAGGAGGGCACAGAATGGACGGGGAGGCACGTTGTGGGGAGGGCGCAGGGGAGGGACACCCAGAGAGGGAGCGGGAGGAGAAGGGTGGGAGGAGAGGGGGAGGGGGGGGGAAGGAAGAGGGGGAGGGTCAAGCTAGGTGCGCTCGCGCCATATCTGACATCCTACCCCTCGCACTCATCCCTTCCAATTGCACTGTTATTTTCTATATCCGCCGACGCGTGTCTGAGTGCGGAATCGAAAAAAGGGAGCTGCGTACTTTGGAGGAGAAGTAGGCGGATGAGCAAGAAGAAGAGGAGGAAGAGAGAGAGTAGGGAGGAGGATGTTGACAAACAGCAGCAGGAGGAGCTGGAGTGGGAGAAGCGGGAGGAGCAGGATGCCCCGGGGAAGGCGGGGGAGGGGAAAGGAGCGGGGCGACAACGATGAGGAAACACTCGGATACAGAGAAGTGGCTTGTGGTGGGGCGAGAGCGCCATTCTGAACGGGAGCAAAGTGCCGCTCCTAAAGTGAAGCCAACGCTGCAGCGGGAGCACCATTCTGAGACACCGACGACGCCCCGATTGAGACAGGTCAATGTTTGCAAACCTGTGGGGAACAACGGTGCGCGGTTGGGGACGGGTGACTCCCCGGCCATCGTCGGGAGAGGGCGGGAGAATAGTGTTCACAGTGAGTAATGGTAGAGGAGGGCGAGGGAAGGGATGATAGGGAAGTGCGAAAATGGACGGGAGAGTAGCGTACCCCTTCACTTCCTCGCATTCGCAGCGTCTTTACTTTCAAGTTTTAAGCATTTAAATAAACCAACAGTTTGAAGTAATCCAAACAATGGGCCTAGGAAATTGATAGTGTCAGGATTCTCGTTGGCGCGTGCCTAGCTTCGCAATGTGCTACATAACGCTGCCACCAAACACGACAGTGTCAAGCACAAGTGTGATACCAAATCCCGCGCGGCATCGTATCCGCGATCGGCGAACAGTTGGGAAGGCTGGTAGGTCCGCAGTCTGGCCCAGAATGTCGAACCCCTCGAGATATCGCAAACCAGCAACATGTCTGATAGCGGGGCCGAGTTATATTGAACGGATAAACGGCACCAACGTACACGACGATGGGCCAGACAAACAAACCAATGTATGTTGCACTGCCCCGCGCGAGGTTACATCTTGCAGGAAGCTGCACAACAGCCATTCAAGAAATGATGGAACCTAGCCGGAACAGGCTCTGGGCTCATTTTCAAGTCATGCCTTCAGGCGCCCCTGGATCTAGAATGATTGGCTCCAACAAGGGCAACCCGCTTGACAGATCGTCTCATAGCAGTGGCGTTGGCCGTATGTGACTGCACCACTCCCCCTTCCTGCAGCGCCTAGGAGTGGTCGCACATAGTCGCAATGGAACACTCAATGTATGGTAGACGGCGGACCCAGGGACCCTTGTGAGCGTCAAGACGAGAAGCTGATGTGTAGGAATGCCTGGCGGATCCAATGCATAGTTCAATATTCCTCCTTCCCCTCACTCTCCTGCGGATTGCTGCTCATCCTCCGGCGTGGCCGTCTCATTGCTTGTCCTCCTCCCTCCTGCATGATTCTTTGCATACAATCACATGATCCTCCTCACGTTCCTCCCTCACGTTTCCATTATGTATTTCAGACCCTCATGCCCTGACGCTCAACCGACTCCTCGTCCACCGATGTGCTATTTGCTCTACTCATCGTGCTCCTCCTGGTCCTGCTCCCCCCAACCTCCACACTTTCCCTCGTCCTCCTCCTCCTCCTCCTCCTCATCTTCCTCTTCCCTCTTCCCCCTTTTCCTGCTGCCCTCATTCAAGCCCTCTCTCAAACACTCACCCCTCCTCCTCCTCCTCCTCCTCCTCCTCCTCCTCCTCCTCCTTTTCCCGCGGACAGCAAAACCGGAATTCGCCGTCGGAGGTGACTTCGCGACTGCGCTGCAGGCGCCCCTGAAACAAGGCTTAGGCTTGGCAGCGAACGCGCGGCAAAGGAGCTGCGCGCTGCGATGCTCAGGCGGCGGCGGCGACAACCCGCGCGCGCTTAGCTCAGCCACAGGAGCGTGACGGCATCCAGCTCATGCGGAGCCCGCCGCGACGGGGCGGTGGACGAGAGCGGCTACCACGCCCTGGCCTAACTCCCAGCTTGGAAGGGGGCGCGGTGGCGCGCTGCGGGGGACTCGACCAGAGGACTGGCGGCTCCCTCCGACGCTAACGAGGCGAACAGCCCCTCTTCGAGCGGAGGGTGCCGACCTGAGGCCGCCAGCGCTCAGACGGCCGGCTCGAGCGCGCCGTCTTGGCTTGGGAATGTCGGGGGGGCGGCGGTGGCTCGACGCCTCCGTCCGCCACCTCGCGGCCTGCACCCACGCCGAGCTGCGGGTGGCCGCGGGGACCGGGACCCGCACGCTCGCCCCCCCGACGCCAGGCCGATGCCTGTCGTCCTCGGGGCGGGGTGGTCGGCTCGGCGCCGAGGCCCTGCGCCTGCTGCCCGAGGACCAGCTTTGGACGCCCGAAGTGGGTGCCGAAAAAATGGGCACAGCGCCCAACAGCAAACGCTGTCCCAAACCAACAGCGGCCGCTGTCGGGCAGGCGGCCCTCTGCCTCAAATGTACACAGGCCGCGGCGACACCGACAGCGAGTCCTGCTCAAAATGAACAGGAACCGCTGTTGGGCATTGTACCCTGAAGTCAGGCCTGTCCTCCCACAGGGGGATTTTCGACGAAACAATCAAAAACAGTCAAACATACTCACAAGATGCCCAACAATACTCAAAAAATAGTCCCCAGACTGTTTGTTTAAACTATTTTTGAATATGCCTCCTGAAGAGGGACAGGTCCGACTCAATTCTACCCATTCCTTCCGTACCCATTCCGTTCGTGCCGACCAGCAGCCGCGGGAGCTGGGGCGCGTGCCTGCGGGGCCGCCACGGCGCGCCAGCTCCGCGAGGCGGCTCTGCGCCGTGCGGCGGCCTCTGAGCCGCCGCGGCGGCCGGCGCCAGGCCGCGCGACGGCAGGGCTCGCGCCGCCCTTCGGGCCACGTGGCCGCCCCGATGGCGACGGGACGACTCCTGGCCATCGCTCGGACGTCCGTTCCCTTTGTTTTTGTTTTGGTTTCGTGCGTGGCTTTTTCTAGGGGAAAAAAACAAAAATATAAAAACTCGGAGGTCCGCGCGGATTCCTCGGATCAGCGCTGGACCCCCCTCCCTGGCGCGCGGAGCGCGCCAGGGGCGGCGCCGGAGGCGCCGCCGGGGGGGCCCCAGCGCCGATCCGAGAAATCCGCGCGGACCTCCGAATTCTTATGTTCATGCCACTTTTTGTTCCCCTAGTTTCGCAGGATGATCCGGGACGCTCCTTAGTGATCCCCGCCGCGAAGAAGTGCACACGTCCGAGCGCTACCAAGGGCGGGGCGGCACGCGCGGCGGCTCGCGGCTGGCTGGTGCGCGCCGCGCCCCGGCGGCCTGGCCGGGCGCGGAGGTGCGCCCAGCGGCGCAGTGGGCCCGCGCCGTGGCGCCTTCCCCGCGGTCGCCCCTGGCGCTCCTGGGCAGCAGGGGGCAGGAGGAGGAGGAGGAGGAGGAGGAGGAGGAGGAGGGGCAGGAGGAGGAGGAGCAGGAGGAGGAGGGAGGAGGAGGAGGAGGGGAGGAGGAGGAGGAGGAGGAGGAGGAGGAGGAGGAGGAGGAGGAGGAGGAGGAGGAGGAGGAGGAGGAGGAGGGGCAGGAGGAGGAGGTTTAAGTGAGAAGGTGCCTGGCAGAAAACCAAACAGTGAGAGCCCGAGGCGACGGGGCGACGCAACGAGCACAAGCACTGTTCGGGCTCACTAAAGAAAAAAGCGGAGGCAGCGGACGCGCGCACCTTTTGGCGACATCAGGCGCACGCCGTCCTCCTCCTCTCAGTGCTACGCCTCGGCAGAGGCCTAGCTGTGCCGCCGGCTGGCGGCCCCACGGCCCGAACC